AAAAAATCGTCAAAATCCGTGCAGCGCAACCACATTCGCCTGAGCCGAATGAATGTAAAACATGACAGAATGACTAGGGTGATTTTATCTCAAAATGAAACAGAAGCCGCAACAGGATAATCCCAGTTTGTGACTCTCTCGTGTTACATACAAGGATCAAATGCAACTCACAGAAAACGTAGCTGGCCGCTGTTAAGTGTTAAGTGTTTATAAGGTAAAGAGGCATCACTTTGCAACATCACTGAATGAACAGAGGGGACTGAATGTTTCTGTGGTTCCAACAACTCCAACAGAGTGAGACGTCTTCACTGATAAAACCCATCAGCTGATCTCACATCAGTGATGGAAATGTAGTATATTCTGCCCGGTGGTGTACATGCAGAATGGTTACGATGCTCCATCTTTTATGTTATATTACATAAGAACAAATCCTACACTTTCGTTAGCATTATTTTTTTGGTCCACCCAAAGTACTGCCACATGGGCAAAGAGGTACTTTTAACTGCATCCACAAAGAATACAGGAAGTAGGCTATAACCTTGTTGGTGAGTACTTCTTCTTGTGAACAGTAACAGCAGAATGCAGTCACGTTTTCCAACTGCTAATCACTAAAATCATAAGACTGTTACTGATTGAGAGGTTACAATGACAGGTGTACAAATAAGCCCATGTATCTGCTGCCAGCAGTACTTTGTCCCCATCAGCTGACTGCTGATTAAATGGATTTAACAATGGAGCAAACAGCAGGATCCATTAAGGAAACTCAAGTCTGCTAAATAATGATTGAATGGACACTTTTCCACACTCTCAGCCTCTTTCACTGCTGCAGCCGTCTTTTCAAAGATAAATGTTCATTAATGTCACAGTTAGTGAATATTTTTTTATATAGCATTTACTATTAATATTCATTATATAGCATATGAAGTGCACTATAAGCGCTTTACCATTTCCCACTCTTGCACACTAGCACTTCAGTGTCTTGTCCAAGGACACTGACATGCAATCAAACCACCAACCCTTCAGTTAGGACTACCTACTCTACCTCCTGAGCGACAGCCGCCCTGAAGTATCAGGTCTCATTTGAACACACTTCACTCAGCGAGTTCAGGGTTACCTTCACGAAACAGTGGTGATCAAAATGCATGTGATCTTTTTGTACCTTATATGGCATAGACTCAAAGAAGATGGACGTCGCTGAGATTTTCTTCTTCTCGGTCATGAAGCCATGAGTCAGGTGACCTCCATCAGGAAGGTCCAGCCCCATGATCCTGCCCTGAGGTGAGGCTCCACGATGGCCGTGTATACAGCAAAGTTAGCAGGTGAACCTTAGAGAAAAGAGTCAAAGTCAGAGATAGGACTCAGGCTGCAGGAGACAGAGGAGAGAATCAGAGCTCACAGTTGGCTTTACAGTCGGCTTTACTTTTGTCATCATCACTTATCTTAAAATATCCATGAAGCATTGAAATTTCTTCTCCAGTGCCTAAAGAGCAGCTCAGCCTGCATGCGGTTAATGTATTACTGCTGTTAATTGGTATCGGCACGTAGTATTTGACAATTTTTACAAGTACAGTACTAGAGGACGACGTCGGACCTGATCGGTGAATTCCTAGAAGAATGTAAAGACTGAGATAGTTAAGAAGTACTTGATACCAGAGTACGGCTGCACGTTGATGCCCCATTTCTCTGAGTCCAGACCGTAGAGCTCCAGCGCCCTCTTCTGACACAGCCTCTCCAGCTCATCAACATGTTCCGTACCACCGTAGTACCTGTAGCACATTTATATTATTACATCATTTTCTTACTAAATGAGCAGGATGAAGCAGAATATACTGCTTCAGGATGCAGTTAAACTTTATTAGTCTTTGTACCTCTGACCAGGATATCCCTCAGAGTACTTGTTGTTCATACAGGAACCCAGAGCCTCGAGAACAGCTCTGCTGGCAAAGTTCTCGGACGCGATCAACTCCAGACCATATGTCTGCCTGTGTTTCTCTTTTTTTATGATGGAGAACACCTGTAACACAGACAACCATGTTTTTATTCAAGGGAACAATAACAATTTGCCACACAAGCTCTAGAGTGGAAAAACGCACAACTGATCTAAATAATAATGAAAAAACTGTTATCTGCAGCTCTATAAAAAAAAAAAAGAAAAAAAAGCAAAATTAACTCTTTTATAAACTATTTTTGAAAGGGATGTCAGCACTAGTGGCCCAATTGAACCGACACACCAGTCTCCAGCATACGGATGTAAAGAAACATGCAAAACCCACAGAACACAAACCTCAGAGTCGCTGACGGCCAGAGGCTCCAACATCATCTTGTTGTGCGAGTCCCATGTTTCTTTGCTCACATTTGGGCTGTTTGGTGAAGACATGATTGTTGATTCTCTGGACACACAAAGTGGAGATCTATAAACAAAGACTACAACTGAATTCTGTATTCACAAAATAAGTGATCAGTCATATATACTTTTATGACTTCATGCTCATGTCGTATGATATAGAATGAGTGTTGCCGACAAACTGGGTTTGCATCCATCCATTATCACGGCTCTACAGTCCAATCAGAAAACATTCAGACACCTTCATTTTCTGCACAATTTGTGTTGTAGCTTCACGTCAGTACAGGCTTTGCACACCTGCATTTGGGCAACTGATTCCATTCTTTCTGACCGTAAACGAAGGTTATTGGCTAGAAAATTCAAAGCTGTAACTGCTGCCCAAGGAGCTTCCTCGAGTTCATGCTGCTTTTTATTGTCATTCACAACCATACGCAGACATGATGAAACTGCATTTACTCCCAGATCTAAGATGATATAAACACAGAAATATACAGATAATAGAGAAAAATGCAAACCCTGAAAGAGCCTGAACACTTTCTGAAGCCACCGTATGATGATATTCCAACGACACAACTCAATCTGTGCAGTCAGCAGCAGTGTTGCAACGCTCCAGCTGCTGTTTGGCTTATTCAGTTAAACTTTAAACCACTGACAAGTAAATGAACTGCAGAGATTGACCAAGAGCAGGTTATTTGGTAATCCACATCACCTCACTGAAGTTTATATCTTTATATTATAAATCAAGGTTGCGGGAAATAGCAGCTCAGATGAATATACAAAATATATTATTCATCTGAGGCTGAGCCCTTTCTGCAAAGCAGGAGTCAAGCATCTGTGAACAGCTGCCCGACAGCTTTTGTTACTATCATTATCCGAGCGTCAGCTGCAAGGGAGGAAACAGAAAAGAGAGTCAACTGGACACGTCTTTAGAAATAAACGGGCTATGAAATTTAGCCACTAGCTTTAAACTTTCCACAGGTAAACAGTGAAAACGACTACTTTGGTAGCTTCTTGTTTTTAATAGAAAACAACTGCTATTAGTCAAAATGCTAAAGTTCACGTCAGGAAGGAAAACAAACGAACTGATACGTTTAAACCTTAATTTAAAGTTACTTCTCCTCTAAAAGTTATTTGTATTTTCCAACACAAACACTGTCTGGTGTGTGGATTTTCTTGTCGCCTGGTTAAACATTCGCTCGCTGACTCACCAGTGATTGTCAACCGTACTGAAGGCGAGGCCCGCATACAAGTATAACCGGTTACACAAGCACGTGCGCCCAGGAAGCTTGAGTGCGCGAAACTTTCCACCTATCCGCGCACACGTTCTTCTTCTGTCAGATGCTTATCCTGAAAATTAGACGCATTGCCGCCGCCTTCTGCTCAAAGAATGTCTCTATTAATATCCATACCACTTATTGCTGAACGGGGTCTGAGCCAATCCCAGCTGACATCGGGCGAGAGGCGGGGGCCACCACGGACAGGTCGCCAGCCCGTCACAGCACAGAGACAGACACCTGTGGCTGATTTAGTTATGCCTGTATTTATGACCCCTCACTCAGAAACACTGAATCATAAACTGAGCTCCTTAAATTACTTCTGAATCGCTACTAAAACACTTTAACTGTTCATTTTATATGTTTTATCCCACTAAATACTTTCCCACACTTTTACTGTTTCAAAAAATAAATATCTGACATGCTGACTCATCAGTGTGGACTTTTGCACCTGAGGTTAAGAACGCCTGCTCCAAATCATGTGACTGTTTTGTGACAAGGAAACAAACAGACACATTTACTGGTTTCATCATATTAATCTGAAATAAAATGACCACAAAATGAGAAAAAACATTCACAACTATAAACCACTAAAACAGACACAAAACTACCTCAAACACAGCAAACTGCAAAAATATGCAGAACAAGAAAAAGAGACAATTACAAGCTGATGTCAAATAAGTACAAAATGGCTACAGGCAACCACAAGAATACACAAAATGAGTACAGATCATAGCTGTGACTTGATCCTAGAAGTGCAGGAATGGTGGGGGTCTTTAAAGCCTGGGCATGCAACTCAGCTGATGTAATATGTCTTGTACATTTCATAATGCTGGTTAATGTGAATGCTGGGAAGAATCACACCAACATGCTAATGTCACCGTGTTTTAGATGAGTTCATACTGTCAAGTCCTGACTGACTTTAACGTGGGAGCTGAGACCAAATCTTAACATGTAGGAGCATCTATGCACAATGTTTATTTTAATCATAGGAGCAACACCAGTCTTACAGTGTTGATGTACTTCAGACCAAAACTTATCTTTATATTAACATTTCTGATTCCAGTGGTCCTAAATTCATTTACTTGTTTTTCTTGTCCATGTTGATGTCAGAGGCAGACTAATCCACACTAGAGCATGGATCGGGCTGCATTTTCCTGTCTGATCCCGACCCGTGCTTGAGAGTGTGGAGTCTGAACCCGACCCGAGCCCAGTGCTGTTGTGTTTGTATGGTATTTTCCCGTATCATTAAATGAAACAGACATTTGAGCTCTAGCCTAAAGTCTGACCTACAGTATGAATCCCGACACGGAGCCGACCATAATTTCTAAAATTCTGTCCTAACTCTGACCCAAACTCTCGGGCAACAGACGGGTCTTGTCGGGTTCGGTTCAGGTATCCACACTAACGGACAGGTCGCCAGCCTGTCACAGGGCCTGATTTCTTAATTCTGCTTTTGTGCTGTGCTGCCTGTATTTATGACCCCTCACTCAGAAACACTGAATCATAAACTGAGCTCCTTAAATTACTTCTGAATCGCTACTAAAACACTTTAACTGTTCATTTTATATGTTTTATCCCACTAAATACTTTCCCACACTTTTACTGTTTCAAAAAATAAATATCTGACATGCTGACTCATCAGTGTGGACTTTTGCACCTGAGGTTAAGAACGCCTGCTCCAAATCATGTGACTGTTTTGTGACAAGGAAACAAACAGACACATTTACTGGTTTCATCATATTAATCTGAAATATTTTATGAGTCAGTTATATACAATGTAAGCCCCATCCCTCCCCCAAAAAAACCCACAGTGGCAAAACTTAATAAGCAAACTTGAAATTGTACAATGATAAATATACCATTATTATTATTATCATGTACAAGCTCAAAGGTTCCTTCCAAGTGCACATGATGTATTCTCAATTGTAGCTTTACTCCTGGAAGGATCATCGAGGTCCTTATTCCCTGTCACAATATACACACTGGTGTCTCTTCAGCCATATGTTACAGTTATGTCAAATAGCTCTTCCTTTAAAAATAGTCAAATATATATTGCGCCAGTTCATAAACATGTGAGAACATCTCTGATGAATACTCTGCATCATTTCAGAGAGAGTGAGTTCATTCCTCTGGATGCTGCTGCTGCTGCTGCTGCTTCTTTTGCTGTAAGAAGACAAGAGATACACGCAGTCAGTTTGACACTGCACAGACGTGTACAGAGGAAAGGCTGTGACTTCACTGTGTAGAAAGGCTGATCTGGGACCGTAGACTCCACAGTGTTCCATTCATTACCTTGCTTTGTTATTACACTGCCTGTCATGTTTTTCCAGTTTGACGCGGCACATACACGTCACAACACCAACAGTGGCAAATTTACAACTAAAAATTAGTAGTAATTTCTGAAACAACAGGTTCTTGATTTTAAACAAAAGCAGGTTTCTTATCTCTGATCAGTGATGGAACATTCACATTTCATGTCAAGAAAAATATTTTATGCTGAGGCTTTTTGGACAGTGCACTTATTATTTTACTTGAACTTATTGCACAGCAACATTTACTGCAGCACACCTCTGCAAAAGAAGTTAATGTTAATACACAGAGGACTTGGAATTTTAGTGTCACATACAAATGACAAATGAAAGAAAACCCAGCATGAAGTGTCTGAGGGTGTGTTCACATCTGCCTTGTCTAGTCCACCTGAATCAAACTCTGGTTCGTTTTCCCCTTTGGTGCGGTTCGTTTGGGCAGGTCCGAACACAGCATTCGGACTTAGGTGTGGACCAGAACAACCGCACCAAGACCATTTCCTGGATGTGGTCTCAGTCCAGTCCAAAACAAACTCTGGAGCAGTTTGTCTGTGGCAGGAACGTGATCCGACCTCAGTCTACAAGGAGTACACTGAAAGTTTGAGCCAAGCGATTCAGCATGTCGCTGTATATGCTCAGTATTTTCTGCTCAGGCTGCATGACAGGGATCTTCTTCCTGTGTTTACTTTCTCAGTCCCGCCCCAAGCTCCCTTAACCAATGAGTGAATATTCTGACATGATTTGCAAGTGATGCATTTTGGTTCACTGTGTGAAAAGAAACCAAACCAAAGGGAAAACAGATCAAGTTTACAAAGTAGTCCACTGATTTGGACTAGTGAAAACAGACTACAGGTTCAAAAATTTGATTCACTAAAATTAGTTTCTGAAGGGCTGCTATATGATTTACAAGCCACAAGATGGCTGTACTTTCTTTATTTGAAGCACTGAAGCTTTGAATCTTTTTCAGCACAAGGCTTCATCCACCCGAACTCCCTCACACACTCACTGCAATGCATTCAAGAGGCCACGGAGACCTGCCCTGTTTCAGCAGGGAAGTGCGGTTTGTCATGGTTCTGATCGGTTCTATCATGTTTTCCCAGCTTAGGGCACTCAACATTTGCTCCATGCTGTTCGATACATTGCCATATGATAATCACCTTATTAACGGCTCTGCCCAACTTGAGGTGCTCACCTTTTTTCTCTTCTTCTTTCTTTTTGGCCGCATCCTCCCTCTGTTTCCTAATAATGGCGAGGCGAGCAAGGTCAGCTTTGGCCTGGTCTGTCTTCCCTGCCAAGTGCATCTTCATGTAGCGCTCCTTTGCTTTCTGCTTCTCGATCTCCTCTCTGAGCCACAGGGTTTGCACATCGGGGTGGAGAAAAGTGACATAAGGAATGTCAGTAAGATATAGTAGCTTAAAATTTATAAACATAAAAACTGAAAATTTGTAGTCCTTCCCACAACAGTCTCCTAACTGTTAGGTACAGGGATTTCCTGCATAATCAGTCTTGTGTAATACAATCACACCACTTTCAAAACAGGGTGTTAATGCTATATTCTTGAGCAGTTTTATCCTACTCTCAAAGGTTTTTAATGAATAATATATTTTAAAATGAAGTTCCCATTTAGCACTAACACACAGTGGCTGACTGAAACACACACCTCTCTCTTCTTGACAACTGCTTGGGCTCATCCAGCTCAATCTGCGTCACCTTCTTGGACTTCTGAGCCATTCTGTTGGGGTTCTCAATTTCTATCAACCCCTCCACACCTGCTCTCCTCCTCTGCAAGCACATCACAACAACTTACACAGCTGAAAGTGGATGCTCTTTAATGAAGCAATGACAAAGCATTACCGGTGAACAGGTTCACCGGTTCTGTTCATTACTTTATGGACAGAATTTCTAGGAGCAGCCAGGGGCCGGAGGGAGTCCGGTTTGGGGACCACAGGATCTCGTCTCTGCTTTTTGCAGATGACGTTGTCCTGTTGGCTCCATCAAACCAGGACCTCCAGCATGCACTGGGATAGTTTGCAGCCGAGTGTGAGGCGGCTGGGATGAGAATCAGCACCTCCAAGTCCGAGGCCATGGTTCTCAGTGGGAAAAGGGTGGCTTGTTCCCTTCAGGTTGGTGGAGAGCTCCTGCCTCAAGTGGAGGAGTTCAAGTATCTTGGGGT